AATTGGAGAGATGTGTATTTTGTATATACAAAATGTATAGATACACCGACAAATATATGTATGTGAGATGAAAAGGTGATTCAGACTCATCTCACCCTTCGTGAGTTATGAAGATAACAATATCCTATTTCGTTTAAGCACACAGATGGGTGATCGAAAAAATGCAAGAGTGAAAAACACAAAGTGAGGCCACAAAATACTAAGTGACTACTAATCATCTTCTCTCTCCCCCCTCTCTCAACATCCCCGCTTCTTCGATCCCTTTCTGTAATTAATCTGTCTTTCAAAATTTCAATTTCAGGGTTTATTTTCTCGATTTCGAATTCATTTTAATCCCAAAAGAAATCAACCCAAAATGGTGTTTTTGAAAGTCAGTTGATTCAGAATAGAGATCTTTTTTTTTTTTTTTTTTTGGTATATAGCTCTATACTAGTTTTAATTTGATTAAAACAACTAAGAGGGCTTGTTTTTCTGTTTCTAAGGTTGATTTTGGTGTTTTTAGTTTCAGATCTTTAAGGATTTTAAAGGGTTCTTTATTTTAACACCTCTTTGATCCTTGTTTGTAGGAAAAAAAAAAATTGTTTTCTTTTAGTTTTGATACAAGAAACGGGTCTATTTTTAAGAGTTTTTGCTTTATATATATATATATATATATATATATATATAATTTTGTTATTGTTAACCTTTGGTTGAGAAGAAAATGGCAGCAGCTATAGATTTTCTTGGATTTCTTAGATCAAGAGCTGATGATGGCACTGAAACCTTTTATAAAAGGTGCTTTATCATCACCCACTACTTCTTCCTACCTTCTTATTCTTCTTCTTCGCCTTCATCTCCTTCTCTTTCTCTCTCTACCTCCTCCTCTCTCCTCCTTTTTTTTTAGAGAGAAGATGGGGAAAGCTACCAGGTGGTTTAGAGGCTTGTTGGGTATGAAGAAAGAGAAGGAAATAGTGGATAATTCAAGTTCTGGCGATCGCAAGGAGAATAAAAGGTGGAGCTTTGGCAAATCCGGGAGGGATTCAGGGGTTATGGGTCAGATTCCGTTCAGCGTTCGCGCAGCAACTGATTCTGCTTGACTGAGATCTTACTTGTCTAAGATCGAGAAGGAGCAGAACAAGCATGCCTTGCCGGAATCCTTCACCTTCTTGCCGGAATTGATGATCGCAGCTTCAGCTTCTCGTCGGAAGGAATGATCGGAAGTTCAGCTTCTCACCGAAATGTATGGTGATTTTTCCGAATCGAGCTTCTGAATAGGGTCCTTCTCTTCGAAAATCTTTATATGCCTAAATCCTTGATCTTCTCTTCATAAATCTTCATCTTTATGTGTTGGTTTACATAGCAGAGGCTTTGATTTTATGTATTGGTTTACAAAGCAGAGGCTTCGATTATGTGTTTTTGGTTTATAGATCAGAGCAGAGCAGAGGCATATATCTGTATATATATATCAGATCAGTTTTGGCTCCAACCTTAATTTTGGTTTTGGGGCGAATTTTAAGTTTAAAATGAAATACAGAAAGGGAGGGCGTACAGAAAGGGTAGAGAAATGGTATAAGCAGGTATAAGCAAAACTACAGTTCTTCAGTATTTTACCTGCTTTGCCACATCAGCTACGGAGCCCACCACTGGACCGGTTCCAGTGAGAAGCGAATGGAGACGATTTTTCTCCTAATTTTCATGAAAAAAAAAAAAAAATGGAGGGGGGGTCTAACCTATAATATATGTGTGTGTGTGTGTAGCCTTGGTAGGTAAAAGTAAACTCGGTGAAAGTAAACTATGAGAAAAAATCTACTCTGTAATATTTATATATATGGAAGGTAGGTACATGGGCATTAATTAAAATTCATGATTGAACATAAAGTAGTAAGCCCGAGATTATCATATCATATACTACCGTGTGTGTCAAACTGTCTCTCTATATATTTATACACTTCGTATATATCAATTATCAAATCAGTTAATAAGAAGACTTCAATGATTGTAGCAGTGGCATCCTGAGGTTTTATTTAGGCTATGTTTGGTAGGGTGAGTTTGAAAGGGAAGGACAATATTAATTACGAGGGAAATGAAAGAAAAAGGAAGAGAAGGATAATTTTAATTTGGTATTATATTTGGTTAATTAATGAAGAAAAAGAAAGGGAAGGACAATAATCATGTTTGGGAAAATAATGAAAAAGAAAAGAAAGGTAATTATTTTAATAAATTGACTATTATACCCTTCTATATTTTAATATATATATATATATATATATATATATTGTCTCTAAGCCCACAAAAAAAGAAAAAAAAAAATTTAGGGCAAATCATTTTAGCCTCCATATTCTCGTTCTCAACTCTGATATATATATATGTGTGTGTGTGTGTATATTTATATTGTCTCCTCAGCCCACAAGAAAAGAAAATTTTTTTTTAGGGCAACTCATTTCAGCCTCCCCAATCTCGACTATATATATATATATATATATATATATATATATTTATATTGTCTCCTCGGGCCCACAAGAAAAGAAAAGAAAAAAAAAAAATTAGAGCAACCCATTTCAGCCTCCCCAATCTCGCCTCCATCTCCATTCTCGTTCTCCAGTCTGAAATTTCCCCCCCTCTCTCTCTCTCTGCACTACAAGAATCTCAAGTTCAAAACCCATATATTTCAATTTATCTATCTATTTGCAAGAGTCAAAAGTTCAAAACCCCTATCGGTATATCATTTTAGATTGTTCAGAAAATCAAAACTCATATCTTTCAATTTCCATCGCCCCTGTTCCAGTTCGGGTTCACCGTTCGCAAGCTTCAACCGTTGGCCCGTCGTCTCTCACTCTCTCTGCAGCGGCTAACTTGTATGTATATATAATCTTGAGGGTAAAATTGGCATCATAAATATTATTTCAGTCATTGCCTTCCCTGTCCTTCCATTTCCTCCCATTTTTGAGAGGATAAGCAAATTACTGTGCAAAGTTATACTTAACCCTATAAAGCCTTCCCTCTCTTTTCCTTTTCTTCCACCCATTTTACTCACCCTCCAACACCTTTCCTTCCCTTTCCTCCCATTTCCACTCTACCAAACTGAGCCTCAGTAGTTTTTAACATCTAATCGTGCTGAGTCACATTGACTAAAATAGGCAATTTCCTTCAGAATAATTTTTTTTATTTTTAAATAAGAAAATAAAATATTTACCAAATGAAAATTTAAAAAATATAGTTCAAATTTTAAAATAATCTTTTTTAACTCGAACTCGTGTTTTCAAACATAACATATTATATATATATAGATATTTAGAATTACTATTATCAATCACTGTAATTTTAAGAGTTGTGTCATTTCATTATTTTTGTTATAATTAAATTGTGCCATGAATCATACATAGTGAGTAATTTAACTAACATTGACATTACACATTCTTAACTGTCAATGATCGGCCAAAACACAGTATCTAAAATATATATTTTAGTACGAATAATTTGAATGAAATTGAGGTCACTCAATAGAATACTCTCGAGAATTTAATGAAAGAAAATGATATTATTGATTCTTTAATACCCGATCGACAGACAAAAAAATATGCTGCGGTTTTTTAAAATTTTAACTTAAATATGCATCATTGCTTTTATTATTTGTTTTCATAAAAGACTCCCTTTCTATTTCTTATCTTTTCAGTTTTCTATAGCTTATTTCCTTAATCTTTTTAGTTTTCTATAGCCATATTATATTCTTTTTCTTTCTCACATTAAGTTTCGTGATAGTCAAATTTAATAATTTGATTTGTACAAAATTTAGAGCAAAAACTGTAATGTTTTATAATTTTTCCATACATTTGTAATATTTTTTTTAAAAAAAGTTATCCTTTTGTCTTTTTTTTGGGGAGTTAGATAAATCATTAACTTTGATCATTATAATAATTAATAAATATTTATCAAAGTAATAGATTGATATTAATAATCAAAAACACAATATGAAGTATCTCAATGGTCTTTACCGAGATGCAATTTAAAATATAAAACAAATATACATGGTGGTTAAAATTTTAAGGAAAAATTACATATAAATGGAGTCAAAGTTCCATATTTACTTAGAGACTGAGTCAAAATTCCATATTTTTCTAAAATGGATTACTGAGGTGGCACATGGTTTTTTACTATTTAAAAAATTGTGGTGCCTAAAATGCCCTTCCCTAACAAAAAAGTAGTACCTTCAGTTTAAAAAAGTAGTACCTTCAGAGAAAAAGTAGTATCTTCGCGGGTGTTTAAAAAACATGGTATCTGGACGCCAAAAAGTAGTACATTCAGTTAAAAAAAAGTAGTACCTTCGAAAAAAAAGTAGTACCTTCGCGGAAGGGTATTTTAGGCACCACAATTTCTAAACAGTAAAAAACCATGTGCCACCTCAGCAATCCATTTTAGAGAAATATGGAACTTTGACTCAGCCTCTAAGTAAATATGGAACTTTGATTCCATTTATATATAATTTTTCCAAATTTTAATCCCCAACAAAAATGTTACATTAAGATAAATTTAGAAAAAAAATTACAACTTTTCAAATAGACAATTATGTTATATTTTAAGAGAAAAAAATAATTTACCTTATTTTTAAAAATAAATTCTATCATATTTAACATATAATAACCACATAAATTTGATAAAGTAATAGTAATACGACTTTATTTATCAGGCCAAATAGTAACACTCTTTAATGAACCCCCTTTGGCTCACCATTTATTTTGTTTCCAAACTTTAAGACTTTAAATTATTATCCAATAAATAAATTTTGCAAGAGAAGACACGCGTCACACTGTTCTGGAAAAATTACCAGTTTTTTGCGAGACGGGACACACAATTTTGGAAATAGCAGATTTGTTTACAAGGAGTCATTTTAAGATTAAATAAAGATGAAACGGAGAAGAATAACGAGGTCTAATGTGGGTCCCACCTTGAAATCTGTGACAGAGACGGCTGTTTCGCTTCTGAGCTTCTCCGGTTCACAGGTTATTTAAATGCGCTCCCTCTGTCTCCTCTCTTCTCTCTCTTGGAACAAGCTTTGGAGTTTCTCTCTCTAAAATAAATATTACTACTGTACTAGTAGAAGAAGATTGTGTCTTTGTATTCTTTCGGGCGTGTGAAACTCTTTGGAGAAGCAAAGTCTTCTCTTTCACACCTTTTGTCTGAGATTGAAGAATCTAGGGTTTGACAGCGGACGAGTCCAACAAAGGTCTGTTCTTTGTTGTTGTTTCTTGTTCTCATAATGATCTCTTTTTCTTCTTTTTTTTATTCAATGGAATTTCTATTTAAACGTTAATCTGTGCCCAGTTAGTCTTCTTTGATATATTTTCACATACCAGATAGTCGAATCTGATTATAAAAAAGGTTTTGTTCTTTGATTTGTCGAAATTCTTGAAATCTCAACCAAGAAGCCCTATTTGGAATTTAGTTTTATCAAAATGGGTTATTTCACTACTTGGGTTTTTAATTTATCAGTTTATGGATGATTGAAGATCTATCAAATTAGTGGATTTTAGAGATTTTGAAGTCCTCATGGTGTGGTTTGATCTAGGTGTCTTGGTTCCTGGGCGTTAGTTTTTTTAGTTCCTCTCTTTAGTTGGATTGAGGGAGGTTTAGATGGAGGAGGTTGAAGAAGCTAATAAAGCAGCAGTAGAGTGTAGCCATAGAGTTCTTAGTCTGTTATCTCAGCCCCAAGATCAGATTCAGTATGGGAATTTAATGGTACAAACTAGGGAGGCTGTATCTAGGTTTAAGAGAGTTGTTTCTCTTCTACATACTGGTTTGGGTCATGCAAGAGTGAAAAAGCTCAAGGATATTCAAACCCCTTTTCCCCAAGACATCCTGTTGGACAATTCAGTGTGTAGGGTAGATCATCAACCCAAGCCTCTTCGGCCTACTCGGACCGATTTTCTTGAAAACCCAATTAAAGAAATGGGTTCAGATGTTAAAATTTCTCTTAGTTTGGGAAATTCATCAATGCAAGTGTGTTCGAATGGGGAAAACCCTCTTCAACATGCCCCAAAAACATCACACACGGATTACCATCACTTCCTCCAGCAGCAGCAGCAGCAGCAGCAGCAGAGGGTTCAACTTCATCAGCAACAGATGAAACAGCAAATGGAAATGATTTACCATCGGAGCAATAGCGGCATTAATCTGAATTTTGATAGCTCTACCTGCACGCCCACCATGTCATCCACTAGGTCTTTTATCTCTTCGTTGAGTATTGATGGGAGTGTAGCTAATTTGGATGGAAATGCCTTCCATTTAATTGGGGCTGCTCGCTCTTCAGATCAGAATTCGCATCAGCATAAGCGAAAGTGTTCTGGGAGGGGAGATGATGGGAGCGTGAAATGCGGAAGCAGTGGTAGATGTCATTGCTCAAAAAAGAGGTTAGCTTTTAGTTCCACCTGTTTCCTCTCAATTTATTATGCTCTTTGATATTAATAGCTTGTAATTGTTTCTGTTCTTTTTATTGGTTCAAAAGGAAACATAGGGTTAAGAGATCAATCAAGGTACCTGCTATAAGTAACAAGCTTGCAGATATTCCTCCTGATGAGTATTCATGGAGAAAGTACGGCCAGAAGCCAATCAAGGGTTCTCCTCACCCCAGGTACATTAAATTTGATTTACGATAGGCAACTAAATTGGAAGCAATGTGTACAGTTGCCTTTGTTGATTTTTAGATGTAGTTTTTGTTTTTTCTAATCATATTTCCATTCTTAGATGTGATTTGTGGTTTGGTATGTGTTCTGGATATTGAAAGTTTATATCAGATTAACCAATGTGCTCCCCTTCTCCTTGTCAAAGATGTTTTAAATTCTCAACTGTTATCTATGATACTTATTTGCCTATTTCCAGGGCATTTAATAACTATGTTTTAAGAAGTTCCTGAACTTCAAGTGTAAATTTGAGTCATGATTCAACTGAAAATTACTTCTTTGGTTTGTGCAGGGGATACTATAAGTGTAGCAGTATGAGAGGTTGCCCTGCAAGGAAACATGTGGAGAGGTGCTTGGAAGATCCCGCAATGCTTATAGTGACTTATGAAGGGGAGCATAATCACCCTAGGTTACCATCGCAATCGGCCAACACATGAAACCTCATGGTATACTTCACCAATATCTCTTCAAGCCCCTCGTGTTCGTTCCACAGAAACTTTGTTTTCGGTTGGCTTGAAATGATCCAGTGTATAGTTTGCATGGTTTAAGCTCAAGGCTTATATGGAGCAAACTTTCTGGCTTTTGAATTTTCACTTTCTGGGCCTCAAGAGTTGAAGATAGTGAGCTGGCAGACATAAGCCAGGAGGAGGACTGCTGCACAGAACTCTGTGGAATTGGGATATTTGATGTAAGAACAATCCGCCATCGTAACTGGCCGATATTTTAGTTAACAGATAAAGGGATTTTGCATGAAAGCATTACCTTTTTTGTGGCATTATTTGTTTCAATTAACTTAGATTTACTGTGTCTTTTGGTGTTGGGTTTTAAAGTCTTTATCTAGATGCAAGAATAGTTAAAGAATTTAGAGAATTGTATATTGATATAGATGGACTACAAGTTACAGCGGTAGGGTTTTTGTTAGTATGAAATGTTGAAGAAACCTAGGCTATAAAACTGCAAAGACAAATGTGCTAGATGTCTCATGTGTAGCATTTACTCACCTCCTACTAATACACTATGACTTAGGCAGATTGAACGGTATAAGCAAAAGATAGTTGATGACGTGGGGTTTTGTAGTTGGAAAGAATTCAATGTTTGATTATGGCTAATAATATAGTCAAGGATAGGCAAGTTATTTAAATTATTAGCTCGCATTTAAAAATTGTGATTGTATCGTATCATTTAAGAACACAAGGAAATTTTTGGTTGTGTTGTATTTAGTATGACCTAAAAGAGCTTTGAATTAAAACAAAGTTTTGGTATCCTAATGGTTTTATTTAGGACTTGAATGTCATGATTTGAATTTTAAAGGTAAGATAGTTCTCATCATTTATGGGTATTTTTTTTTTATTTTTATTTTATTTTATTTTAATCTCCAATTTTCATAGTCTTATTGATTGGTAAACACCTTATTTGACTTGATAGTTTGTTTGAACTTGAAGTCGAATTTACTTAAATGTCTGTTTTTGTTAGCTTACTATGTTAAGAGGAACTGTGAGGTGCCATTCTTGTTGAGAACTGTTTGTGTCCTTTTTGCTTGAATTTTTTTTTTCATAGTTGGTACGCACACACATGCTGTGCTTGAATCTTGTAGTTAAACATTTTTTGTTTTGTTATCCCTTATTATTATTATTATTATTATTATTTGGTTGTCCATTGGGTGAGATTTTGAGGCTAGTGTATTACGGGAGGAAAATCGAACTCAGGACCTCCATCTTGTTAGCGTAGGTAAAGGAGAGACCTGCATCTTATTAGCGCAGTTGTTAACTAACTCGTCCACCTTCATGGAATCTGTTATCTTTTTCCTTTTTCCTGTTTGGGGGTGTGAAATGGTGGCATTATTCAAGTAATCTAAGCAGCTTTAGGGTGCTGGACAACAACAAGGCATGTGAGCTATATAACTGGACCAACATGGGGCCAATCATGCTTCATATCTTGTGCTATTATTCTTTTATTCCCATCATAGCATTTTTCGATTCTCTGACTTCCCTATAGTTGTATTGTGAAATTGGACTATAGAATTTTTATTCCAGTATATATAGAGAGAATTGTTCTAGGGTCTCTCTTGTTGAACACATGTTTTATGTTGGCCACAAATAATTAAACTTTGATACCAGCTGACAATACTAATTAATTATCAGCAAGTACTTTTCTTAATCATGTGGGTAACAAGGTTGTATCTTTGACGTTACATCTTTTAATTGACAAAAAAATTCCTCTTTTTTGTACTCTTGTCACATGGATTGATAAGCTAAACGAATACGTTAGATTCGCCATCAGGAACAGGCCCGAGCCCACAGGCTATAATGCTCTTGGGCTGTAGCTCATTACAAGCATAATTGAGCTCTCAAGTCTCTGTCAATGAAATTTATTAATTTTAGAGAAATTTGACTCAGGTGCATTTTTTTAATGTGGTAATAGTCTGTTGATCTTTTTTCACATTCTGTCCGGTTTTGAAGATTTTTGGAATCAAATCGGTTCCTACTGTGTCAGAAAATTTAAAATCGAACCAGATCATTTGAGCCATAGAATCAAACTGGCCCAAATTGTAAAAAAATGATCCGGTTCCACAGTTCTAGTTGAATTTTATTTTTTTATTTCTTTCTCTTGAATTGTATATACAACAAAAATATTAATAAAAACATTCACATTCCCGAATCGAAATCTAAAATAGAAAAAGAAAAAGAGAGGGGAAAGTGGGTGAAATAGACTCAAAAGTTAAACCCTATAAATTAAAATAAGGTCGAATCTTGCTGAAACTGAAAAGGATGACAAATTCGTGGTTGAAAACGAAACTTGATTCGTTGTCGTTGGTTGTGCTTGAGGCGCAAACACGTCGTGTGACTCAGAGATCTGTAAACTGAAAGTGAGAGAGAGGGGGAGAAAGTGTGAGAAAGAGGACGAGAAAGAAGATGTCACTGACAGCAGCGATAAAAGATCAACGGCGATGACCAAACTTCCAAGGGCGGAGCTAGCATAGGCCCGGGGGGGGCCCATGCTGGCCCATTAGTTTTAATTACAAAATGACCTATGATTTATAAAAAGTTTTCAAAATGCCCCCACTAAAATAATTTTTTTTCTAGAAAATGGCCATTAATTTTTATTACACACATGCCAATAATTTATAAAAAAGTGAAAAATGCCCCGTGAAATAATTATTTACCCTTGTGCCAATTAATTTTTATTGCAAATAGGCCTATAATTTATAAAATTTGACAAAAATACCCACTAAAATAATTATTTTTTAAAAATATCTTTAATTTTTCCTTTCTTTTCATTCTTACTCCTCCTCCTCCACTTCTTCTTTTTCTTCTTCTTCTTCTTTTTTATATTCTCTTAAAAAACAGAAAAGTTGCATTCCTGTATTCAAACTATTTTTTTTTTCTCTTCAAAGTTTGGTAATTAAATTTGTTGCTAAACGGACTCTTAAGATTGGTATTTTATGTTTCCATTTTTTTTAAATAATTATTTTTCAAATTATTAAATGGTATTATTCCACCATTATTACAATTCTATTTTTTGTTTTATTGTTTTGCATCACTATTCGTTTGAAAAAAATATAATACGGTACCCCCTCTGAAACAAATTCCTGGCTCTGCCCCTGCAAACTTCGAAGGTTACTTGAGAGAGATTGATCAACAACTGGATCCCGCGCGCGATGAGAATTAAGAAGTAAATAAGACGGCGTGAGCAAAAAAAAATTTGAGATAATGAAGAAATGTTGGCACGCACCCAAAAATCAAAAAATTGGGAGAAACAAAAATAAATTAAAAAAAAAAAAAAAACATTAGATAATGATGAATGTTTGCACCCATTTAATAGTTGTGCAGAAATTCCTTGCAAAGTTAAGAGTATGTACATATATACACACGATATATTTATTTACATATTATAACGGTTCGGTAACCGGTCCGGACTTGTAGGACCCTAATTCGGGACTGAACAAAAAATTCACAGTTCCATTATTTTGAAACCATGATCGAACCGAACCGCTATGGAACTGGCCTAGACCGTTCGATTCTGTTTGATCCGGCATGGTTTTTCGGGTTGACGGGTTTTTTTGCACACTCCTATTTCTTTCAAAATATTTATTTATTTATTTGAAGGGACTTCAAAACTATTGGTCAGTTTGGTAGGAAAAAAAATTTTGAATGGAAGGGAGAGAAGAAGAGATGCATGAAACATCAGTAAAGAAGGGGAAATGATATTTTTGACGACTTTAATACTCCGACTTAAAACCGACCTAGATAAAAATATGACACGTTATTATAAAATTTCAACTTAAATAAGCATCATTACCATTCGTGTTTGTTTCCATAAAATATGTCAATTGTTCTTTCTTTATCTACTCAATTTTTCATAACTCATTTCCTTATCTTTTCAGTTTTCCATAACCGTATCATCTTCTTTTTCGTTTTCACAGCATCTTTCATGGTACTCAAAATAGAATAATTTGATTGGTACAAAATCTAGAACAAAAACTGTAATATTTTTCAATGCTTTGCAATTTTTCTTTAAATTCCTCTCTTTGTTTTTGTTTCTGAAGTCACATAGATCATTAGTTTTGATCATTATATCAATGAACAAATGCCTATCTAATTATATATAGGGGATACAATCTTAAGTATCTATGCATTAGAGATCGAGATGCAATGTGATATATATATATATATATATATATATATGAGTAGGTGATACTCACACCGAACACTTGCAGTGAATTGTCTAGCCGAATAATTTTTAATTTATTATTTATATCAAATACAACTAAGTGGAGGGCTCCACTTCCTTATTTGTTACATAATTGACCAATTAAGAGGTAGGCCTAACAATTCACTGTAACTATTTGGTGCAATAATCATTTTCCTATATATATATAGCACATATACAATTTGATATACATGGTGATTGAAACTTTAATAGCCAACAAAGATAAAACCTAAAAAATGGATTACAACTTTCTAAATAGTTAATTACCTTATATTTTAAAATGGATCCCGTTATATTTGACACATAGGTAGCCACATAGACTCGGTAGAGTGGTAGGTTTTTATTTATTGGGCTAAATAGTAGTACTCCTAGGGAATAGATAATATATTTATTTCTTTTTGTTCGGTTGGATAAAAAAGAAGAGAATAAACTTATAATTTACTATATTTGTTAGGAGAGAAGGAAAGATAAAATTTTAATTGTTTTTGTCATTATATCTAATCATATTTATAATATTGTAATTTATAGAGAATAGTACTGTAATTTAAAACTTGTATAAATTAAGATATTATTTAATTTAAAATTTCTATAATAATCTATTTGTCTTTCCTCCTTTCTTCCGCCAATTTTGGGCAGATGAAAATTTGTAAAGAAGGAAGGATGACTAAGTCATCCTTCCTATTTTCATTTCTTTCCTTATATCATCTCTACCAAACAAAAGAAATTTGCCATTTCCTTATTATTTTCTCTCCACACATTTTTTTTACTTTCTACCGAACACAGCATAAGTATTGTTCAAGTTTTAATATTTAATAATTAGCTATTGATCCTTCGGTCAAAACAAAACAACAAATTAGTCAAATATCTAAATAACATCAAATTAGTTAAAGAAAACAATATATTAAATATATGAAAAAAATATTTTCAAAATCCATTAAGTGAACAATACTCTGGAGAAGAAGTAGGAGGTAATGAATTTAACTTGGGAATGATAAATACAATCACCAAAAAGAGGTAGATGATGCTTTTAATATGGTGGGGAGCATTAAAAGTGATTGGTTTCATTTGGTTTTTTCTTTCTTTTCCTCCCATTTTCGG